TATGATTTCTCAAAGACTCTTTTTTGTAGGTAACCATTTTAAATAGTAACAAATTAATAACTCATTAAAAGAGTAATATCTGATTTTTATAATATTCAGAAATCATATTTGCCAATGATAATAGGAATATTATGTAGTTTTCCACATTAATTAAACAGTAAATATTAATAATTGGTCATTTTTTAAATATTTATTATCATGATAATATATGATCAAACTAATTGTGCACACTTCAAAACAAGCAGTGAGCAGACGTGTCATCATTTTAATTGTAGTTTTGAAATATTGTAATTAAATTCTTCCCTCAAATCATTTCACACACATTGAATAAATATATATATATATTTTTTTTAAGACTCAAGTATCTTGTAAAACACCTTTAAAACACTTTGATGTTCAATTAAAGTCTTTAAATTGGTCTGCTTTTTATAAATATTTCTTTAAATTGTCTGTTTTGTCGTTTATATTTCCATTCTCTCTGTGCATAAATGATATCATGCTTTTGAATGCAATACATCACAATATTGAGTTCCACTGATAAAAGAGAAACGCCGTCAGTCTCCTGATGAACATATGTGTGTGTGATCGTGAAGATCGCTAACGTCTGCTGTCGTTTAAAACAGTCGCTAGCTTTTATTTTTTCAGGAGTGTATTCATTATTGATGCTGCCATCACAAAAAGAGCAATTAAAAGCAGATCAGAAATAGGCTGTTCATATTACACAGGCCAGCATTAGAGGCAGATTGACATTGATCAGTGTGTGTGGGGCGCAGAGCTAATGGTGGCGCTCTGAAGAACACACACATTGATTGAAACTCCAGACTGGAACCAGAGACCGCAAAGCAGGAGAGGAGGAGGAGAAGGTGAAAACGAGGAGGAGAAGGAGGAGAAAACGAGGAGGAGAAGAAGAGGAGAAGAAGAAAATGAGAAGGATGAAGAGAAGAAGATGAAAAAAGGAAAGAGAAGGAGATAAAGAGGAGGATGAAAAGTATAAGGTGAAGTAGAGGAAGAGTAGGAAAAGGAGAAGGAGAAAACGAGGAGGAGAAGAAGATGAAAAGAAGGAGAAGGAGAAAATGAGAAGGATGAAGAGAAGAAGATGAAAAAGGAAATAAAAAGGAGGAGAAGGAAATGAGGATGAAGAGTATGAGGAGAAGTAGAGGAAGTATAGGAAAAGGAGGTGATGGAGAAAACAAGGAGGAGGAGAAGAAGATGAGGAGAAGGAGAAAATGAGGAGGAGGAGGGAGATAAAACGAGGAGAAGAAGAGGAGGAGAAAATGAGGAGAAGGACAAGAGGGGGAGGAAAATAAAACAAGGAGAAAAAAAGGACGATAAGAGGAGAAGAAGAAGAGGATGAAG